TCCCCCCCCCCCTCCTTCACTCACCTCCCATCATGGCATACCCTCCACCGCCGCCCCCATGAGCGGAACCCTCCGCCATACGAGCTGGACTGGGAGTAGTGGTGGACTGGGTACTGGACTGGCACGTAGATGACGGTCTCTCCCTCATCGTAGTAGTCGTAGTCCCCCTTCCCCCCCATGCCCATGAAGCCCGGGGAGGCGTGAGTCCCCAGGGCCAAGGCTGCGAGCACGACCAGTAGGACGAGGAGCGCGCGCTGGGGGGAAAAAGGCGAGGTTTTGTAAGGCGCTAGGGGAAAAAGAGACGAGGTGTGTAAGGTGTTAGGGAAAAGAGGCGAGGTGTGTAAGGCGCTGGGGGAAAAATGGCGAGGTGTGTAAGGCGCTGGGGGAAAAATGGCGGGGTTGTAAGGCGGTGGGGGAAAAGAGGCGGTGGGGGAAAAAGGGGAGGGATGTGTAAGGCGTGGGGGAAAAGAAGGCGAGGGGTGTAAGTGTGGGGGAAAAAAGCGGGGTTTTGTAAAAAAAGGCGGGGTTGTAGGCGGTGGGGGAAAAGAGGGCCGGGTGTGTAAGGCGTTAAGGGAAAAGAGGGGGAGGTTTTGTAAGGCGGTGGGGAAAAAGGCGGGGTGTAAAGGCGCTGGGGGGAAAAAGAGGCGAGGTTTTGTAAGGCGCTGGGGGAAAAAAGGGAGGTTTGTAAGGCGGTGGGGGAAAAGAGGGCGAGGTTGTAAGGCGCTAGGGGAAATGCCAAAACAGGGAGAATGGCTAGGGAAATTATGGGGGAAATTAAGTACGGGATGTAAAGCGACATAGAACTAAAAAGGAAAATTTGTGTCTGAAAAAAATATCATGAGATACAACACAAGAGGAAAAATATGAAAAATAAAGGAAATTTTAAACATGTTCGATACAACACACGATAAATAAGATAGAATACATAATCAAAAGAAACAAAATAAAACAGAAAGACGGGTATCAAGTCCGAAAAGATGCGTAAACAAAACAAACAAACAAAAAATATATGATAAAGACAGCGGATACTGAATTTTAGGATAGAACAAACAAACAAAATATATAATAAGAGCAACGATAACGAATATTAGGATAGAACAAACAAACAAAAATATATAATAAAGAGCAACGATACTGAATTTAGGATTAGAACAAACAAACAAAAATATATTAATAAAGACAACGAATAACGAATATTAGGATTAGAACAAACAAACAAAAATTATAATAAAGAGGCAACGAATAGAATTAATTAGGATTAGAACAAACAAACAAAAATATATAATAAAGAACAACGAATTAGAATTAGGATTAGAACTTCTATACATGAAGAGCCTAAGAGGTTTTGAAATCTGTATCGACTTCTTGGAATCCCAGAAGAATCCCTTTACCATGATGGAGATGAGAGATGCTGGGAGATGTGGCGAGTGCGGGCCAGACCGACGTATATATAGAGCTCGTGGTAAAAGCAGCACCGTCTCCCCCCCCCTTCCCCTTCCTCCCCCCCCCCCCCTCCCCTTCCCTCCACTCCCCTCCCTCCACCTGCTCGGGAGGGGGTGGGGAGGGGGGGGTGAATATAGAGCTCGTGGTAAAAAGCACCGCCCCCACCCCCCCTCCCCCCTTCCCTCCCTCTCCCACCCTCCCTCCACCTGCTCTGGGAGGGGTTGGGGAGGGGGTGGGGGGGGGTGATAACTATCGGGAGTTCGGATTTTCGTTCCTTTCGCTGGCTCGTGGGCGCGCGTTTTCGCTTTTCTTCTTCTTTCTTCTTCTTCTTCTTCTTTCTTTTGCTTTCTTTGTTTTTGGAGAGTCATACTGCTCCTCTCGTACGCGCCCACGTACGGCGGGCGTCTCTCTCCTTCTCGGTCGTACATACATACATACATATGTATATATATATATATATATATATATATATATATATATATATATATATATATATATATATATATATATATTATATATATATATATATATATATATATATTCATATGTATATATTTATATATATATATGTATATATATATATTATACATATATATATTATATATATATTATATATATATATATATATATATATAATATATATATATATATATATATATATATATATATATATATATTATATATATGTATATATATAATATATATATATATATATATATATATATATAATATATATATATATATATATATATATATATATATATATATATATATATTTACATATTATATATATATATAATATATATACACATACATATATATACATATATATAATATATATATATATATATATATATATATATATATATATATATATATATATAATATATATATATATATATATATATATATATATATTATATATATATATATATATATATATATATATATATATATATATATATTATATATATATATATATATATACATATATACATATATATATTATTATACACATATGTTATATGTATATTGTATATCATATTCATAACACATCACAGCACACAATGTGATTTATATAATCATTATTATCCTATTATTTTCATTGTTGTTGTTATAATCCTTATTATCATTGCTATTATTATCATTATTATTATTACTTTATTATTATTTTAGTAGTAGTAGTAGTAGTATTTATCTATTCCTATCATCTCTTATCATCATCTTAATCATCATCACTATCATCATCATCTTTATTGTTATCATTATCATTATTTTCATTATTATTTTGATATTATTATTATCATTTTTGTTATCATCATTATTATTATCATTATTGTTATTATTATCATTATTATTATTATTTTTATTATTATTATTATTATTATATTATTATATTATTATTATCATTATTATTATTGTTATTATAATTATATTATTATCCTATTATTTATTATTATATTATCATTATTATTTATTATTATTATTATTATTATTATTATTATTACTATCCTTAGTGTTGTAGTTATTATCATCATTATTATGATTATTATCATTATTCTTATCATTTTTATAAATAATATTATGATTATCATTATCATCATTGTTATCATTATTGTTATTGTTGTTGTTGTTATTCATTATTATTATTATTATTATTATTATTATCATTATTATTATTATTATTATTATTATTATTATTATTATTATTATTATTTATTATTATTATCATTATTATCATTTATTATATTATATTATTATTATTATTATTATTATTATTATTATCATATTATTATTTAGTAGTAGTATTATATTATTTTTATTATTATCATTATTTTGATTATTACGATTATCATTGTTATCATTATGTTTGTTATTTTGTGTGATTACTATTATATTAATATCATTATCATTATTACTATTATCTCTATCATTATCATTAGCATTATCATCATTACTGCTATTATCTTATCATTATTGTCATCATTATTGTTATCATAATAATTATTAATAATAATTACTATTATTACTATTATTACTATTATTACTCCCATTATTCTTGTTTTTGTTTCCATTATTATCATTGTCAATATTATTATTTTCGTTATTGTCTTTATCATTACCATTATTTCATTTCTTAATATTATCATTATAATCATTATTATTTCTATTATCATTATCACTATCAATAGTAATATTATTATCATTATCATTACTATTATTATTATCATTATTATTACTATTATTTTTGTTACTATTATTATTATCACCATTATTGTTATTTTCATTATTATCTTACCAATTGCTGTTATTATTATTACTATAATTATCTTTATCACTATTACTGTTATTACTACCACCATCATTCTTACTATCATTCTTATCCTCATTGCTATTCTTATTAACAGTATCATTATTATCAAAATTTTCATAATTTTCATCATCATTATTACTATACTCATTATGATTACCATCATCGCCATCATTATCATTATCCATATCACTATCACTATAATCATTATCATCATTATGGCCATAACAGCTGTGCATATTACTGTGTAATTACATATCATCAAAGAGATAACAGCTGAAGTTGCCAGGTACTACATTTGGAAGCTGTCATAGCTGCGAAATAGCCAGAGAGAAATCTCGTAGACAGATACGGATCCAAGAACCAAAGATGGATTAAAATGACGCTACAGACGATATGAACAAAAATAATGGATTTAGACAGCTTTATGAATACAGGTGTGCTAGAATAGGTAAAAAAAATGGCATCTGAAATTAAATCCATGTATTTTTACTTGTAAGTTTTCTGATATGGGCTTGATTAAAAATATGTGTCCCTTTTCAAAAGTCTAGAGTCTGGATATTCTAATTACTACCGGTATCATCCTTATAGCACAAAGTCAGGATAAAAGTTTCACATATTGTTCCAAAACCCTCGTGAACCGTTTTAGAAATGCACAATTGCTTGGCGTTCTTGCCTCTCTTACCATCGTGTCCTGTCACTGTTATATACTACACTACAGTATGCCTTTACAGCGACAAGCACACAGACACACGCAAGCAGAGGCGGACGCACACATAGACTCGAACGGGCACGCACATAAATGTGTACTCGGATAAATGCACATACAAGTATTCTTCCATTATCAATGTGGGTGATCTCAGCGCATACACATATATGGATGGATGTATATATCTATGTCTATGTGTATATACATAGGTATATGTATGTACACACACACACACACACACACACACACACACACACACACACACACACACACACACACACACACACACACACACACACACACACACACACACACACACATACACACATATCTATGAGTGTACATGTGCGTGTATAGGATGTGTGTAAGCATACACATTTACACACACACACATATATGTACAAAGTCGCACACACGCACTCAACGTGGTTTACAAGACTGGCTTTCTGCGTCACGGTGAAGGTCGGGCTTGTGGTTTACGTGTCAATTTTGCTTGACAGTTGATCATTCGTTGACAAGACACGATATAAATTAGAC